TTGCTTAAGGTCGTAGTTTAATACTCAACTATCAATTGTAACAAACCAAATACAGAATTAGCGGAATATCAGTCGCCGTGCGTGCTCTCTATTGTGTGTTCACCATGAACAGAAGGAAAACCAGTAAATACTAGGTAAAAGTATTTAGCATTCAATAAAGTGCGCATTTCCATCCATCGCAAACATGTACTTGAAAAGTAGAAAGAACTAGGATCCTTGTTTTAGGCCCAGGGGACAGTGGTAATGAGAGCAATACATTTCACAGGACGGTCTCTAGAGACGCTACCTTACATCTTGAATAAGTAACGAATGAGTAATACCACCGTGAGACATGTTGGCAGAAGAATGAATGGAGCCCTCTGCGAGCGCTAAGCTAAATCTGATAATGAAGAAGCCTGCCCTTGAACTGTGGCGGGAAGAATGGGTATAGGATAGATATTGACAAAAACGAGATGAATGGACAAGATTTCTGATTCTAGATATCTCGAAACGGTACGACAGAATCGAAGGGGAGACTGGTATATTATAAAAATGTTGGTATTAGATAGATGTACATAGATAATTCCAAGCTTACGTAGTAAGGACTGCAAAGGCCCTAACAGATACCTTTAATAAACTCAAGGAGTGGACGGAATGGTACACAGTGCACCCCACAGCCAAGCACTTTGCTCAAGATCAAAAACAGAACGTATATGGTTAAGGACAAAAATGTATTTCAGCCAAAAAGCATAATAATATCTAAAATAGGATGGAAATGCGGACCGAGATTTGTAACAGTTTCTATGGAACTGAAAGGTGAATTTGAGAACGACAGCAGACAGTCAGATGAAGAGAAGATGCTTACAAAAAAAATGTCAAAAGTAAGCAGCCCCAAGCAAAGAGTTAACCCAAATATTGATAACTGCGAAACACCTGGCGAACATTTAAAGCAATATGAAACACCGAACTTAGAGTCGTTGGGTAGTAAGGCCGCTCTTTGTCGTGAGACACTTGAAGACCACTGCAAACATAAACAGTGTTCTTGGAAATAATTTCTTTTTTGCCTTCTGATAGTGAATAAAAAAACGAATCCCTTGCGCAAGGCAAAGACTAAGAGGCCTTTTCGCTGCCGTCCTGTCTGAAAAAATGTTGAGCGTCGACTATCAAACCGTCATATCCTCCAAAGAAAAAGTTCTACTCCTGATGGGTCAAAAAAAGAGCCACTGCTTGATACAGTACTTCAAGAGTGTCTCCATCTTGGATTGAGCACCTGTTTTTCGTGTATTAATGTTTTAGGAAATCTAAACTGTAGCATTAGATCGCTGCACCTCTTTTGTAAAGGCCGAACCGAATTCGTTGTAAAACTATGAATTTACAGTTCAGTACACTGAACAGAAAGCTATAAGTGTTTCTGTGAGACGTAAAAGCAACATTAATTTCAAAAACAAAGTTCTGATCGCAGTTTGGGCCTCTGTCCAGGGCAGGGTTTTTGGACAACTTAGACGTCAATTCACTGTAGACGGCGCCATTGAGCCGGACTTCATCGGGCTTAGGCGTATCGATGTGGCCTTATATTGAGTTACTAGTTAGGAGCTAGTTGTGCATCTACAGAGGGCATTTCCCTAAATGACTTGTCACCTATTCAGGACCTCATACAAACAGTACGTAGTTAAATCGAATAAATACGCTTGTTAGAAATATTTAACAACGAAATACTCAAAAGCTTCGCTGCATCCCTCCTCATTCGACATGTATTCTGATTATGATCTGACATTATGAGAACGATCTGAGCGAGAACTAATCGGCTGCGCGATTCCTCATTCGAGTTCAAAAGCGATGAGTTCCTATTTAAAAGTGACATATTCATAGCTGACAATCATTTTCGATAATCATAATGATATATGCTATACAGGTCCACGATCGATCAACCACTCGGAAAATGTGGCGAAGCTGTGGCATTTAGCTCTCTTCTCCTGGGCTGTTTCGGTGACACCGGTGCAATGATAAACGGGCATCTGTGTGTGCTCGTCAATTGAACTTACTGGCTATTCTGTGTAGTGGTTTCCTCTTCTAAGATCCTCTACTCAACGATCCAGTACCTTTACAAAAACATCTAGACAGATCGAACGGTCACTTCTGTTCATGGTTACCATAACAATCTTAAGATATCGTAGGATGGGTTCCTGTTGCTACTGAGGTTGATGAGTTTGCCTCTTGTTACAAAGGTGCAATGCCTCACACTTTCCTCGGCTACCACACAGGATATTGTTTTGAAATAACGAAGAAGCAAACTGGCGATAATGCCTAAAAAAATAACGTATGCGTTATTAATTGACGATAAAAATGTGATCAATGATTCTAGTGGCATCCCCTGGAAGCGAATCAATGCACAAATGCGTTTAACATAGTCCGTTTGTGAGTAATTTAAGCACAGAAATTATTACAGCTATTCATTTTTAGGTACTAAATTAATATTATTACGGGTCGCCTAGTAATTGCATGTTTGTTTTTAAAAACGACCCTAAGCTCTCTAGCTTAGCGGGAAGCTTCTTTGTTTCATGTTGTTTTATTTCAGTGAATCTGCTATACTGAGCTCGGTCTTCATCTGCTAAGTTTCCTCCGTTGGGAGATAAGCAAACGCTTTCACATTCACGTATTTGCTTATTATGTCGCAATCATTCCTGCTCCCGCACACTCGATCTCTCACGGTCGAGTATATGTAGAATCATTATATGCGTCATATAATGCGGAAATCTCATTGTCCCGTTGTCAAAATTCAATAAAAATTCAACTAACCTGTCCCTCGCTGATATGAGGCTGTTTTGCATTATTTCCTGACTTTTTTCATTCTATGTTCATCCCATACGATGACCATACACAAGCGAGACTCGGCTATCAATATTAGGAAAGGCGATACTATTCGAGTGGAAGCAGCGCGTTTGTTGGGGTACTGACTTTAATTTTTGCCTCTCGATCATCAGTTCTCTGAAAGAGATCGCTGCCTTTTCCATATGAGCTTTCCTTCGCTGATACTTATTTACACTGGGCCTTGTTACCTTCGTTCGTCTTTTGCTCGCCGTTGTCGTCTGCGTTCCTAATATGTTCGACATACGTTTACGCACTGCTCATGCTCCGATAACTGTTGTCGTTGTAGAGACCCGTATTTGCTTTGATCCTCATTTTTCTTTCGCGCCCGGCTTCTGTTGCTGGCGCTGGTCACCGGTAGTAATGCTACTGTTTTGTTGGGTCCTCTTGTATTCAGTATTCGGTTGTTTGGGCATATGTGGGCTTGCCAAGGATCTCTCTCGATCGAAGTGTCCATTCCAGCAGCTCCCACCGGGTCTGCCAGTCGACTACGGCCAGATTAAGCCAGATTGCCGTAGTGATAACTGGATAGGGACAACACATCCAAGTAACAACATATCATCGATGTCTACGAGGCTCGTCCGAACTGCACGAACCCCGTTGCTATTGCTTCCCCCTTAAACTCCCATATACCTGACTAATCTAGCAATGGAACGTGGCCCCGGTCGCATTTCTTTCATTTAATTGCACTGTGAATTCGTCTGCGGACGGCACTGATAGAGCGTTGGTAGCGCGCGAGAAATCGACTCAATTTTCAGCCTCTTTTGCGACTGTGATTTCCTATGACTAGTTGGGTGTTGTCCGTCAATGGCTATTACAATAGAGTCGGCCTTTTCATAATCTCAGCTGCAATCGTTATCTGAATATTGGTTTCTCATTCAAGCTCTTCCTTCCTACGACGGCAATATTTTACTGCTGGCCGATCCGGGGAATAAGTTCATTACACTTCAGTTTCCTGCATCTTCCTTAGCCGAGACAAGAGTCCAAAATCCTTATTGAAGAATCTGCTGTAAGGAGAATGGCTTGGATGGCACAAAGCTTTCTCGCCGTCACGCTGTTGCTATCGAATGTGTGGCTGACGGGCGAATGTCTCCAAGCGGAACCAACGAAGTAGCTGATACGAAGAGAGTCGCCAAGAAGGGCTCCCATTGTATAGCTCATTTGGCTTTGTGATCTTTTGTTGCTTATTTTTCATACTGTAACTCCGGCTCAGTCTATAATAAGACAACGGAAACACTGTTCTGCGAAGCGATATTTGAAAGACGTTTTTGACGTTTGTACTGAGTAATGCAGCAAAATTTCCTTAATGTACATACATAACGCATCCTCAGACCCCCCAACAGCAAACAGCGGATGATATAGAACATTATCATCTATATGACCCTACAAATATATACGTATATGTGTGCGTACAGCGAACACTATGAGAGTTCCAGGGTTAACCAAAGGGGGTCAATATAATTTGTTTTTATACCGGTATTAACGGTTTGCTATACGCTTTTTTCCTACTAATTATATTTAACAAGTTTTTTCTCAGGTTTAATTGTCAAACGATACTTTCTACGGGGTAGATGTAACTGGGGGCTTTTTCAGCAGGTCTATGGAGCGGTATGGCAACAATCTGCCAACGCTAAAATTTGATGCAGTAGTAACCGCTTAATCACGCTTGTTATAGCAATGCACCTAATAGTCTGACGCATTTGCCATCCAGTTCACGCAGCCCTGAAAGACAAATCATTTGAGAAGATAATTTGTGATTTACTTCCCATAGAACTTCGTTACAGTCTGACTTTCTCAACGATAGCCTTCATCGTCAAAGGTATAAGCCCACGGTCTTAGTAATAGATACAATTGCAGCTTGGGACTAATAGGCTGGGAGTAGCTAGGTCGTCACAGTGTACCACTGCCGTTGTAACTGTAATAACAAAGGCCCAAATCACAATTGCTTGGTAACACCGACCATTGTTTTAGTAGATAAAGTGTTAACGAGATAAGCACAGGATGGAACTTGGCACAAATTCGAAAAAAAAAAAACAAAACAAATCGAAGCTGTGAGTATGCATCTGTGCAGACGATGCTACAGCAACGACACGCTCTTAATACTATCGGCTGATGATACTAGCAAATGGAGATAACCCCTGGCAGGTGATGTGGACCGCAACGTCACGTGGGAATTTCGTGGCCAAATTCTTGTTTAAAACTGGACAGCGGCTGAACGACTGACAGACCGTGCCCTACAGATACAGGTTATAATAACGGATCAATATCTGCCATAAATACCTTTCCCGTTTCATACAACGCTAAAGTAGGACAAATCATAATAATAATAATAATATATAATACTAATACACCGACAAATCTAAAATCCAACCCAAATAGATCATCTTGTCAAGCAAGGTTGAAGTGGACGACTCATTTATATCGGCCACAGAACCCCTACAATACCCTTTTACAAAACCAGATATCTTTAGTTTGATTTATGTAGAGCAACTCCGATTTTCTCCTATAAGACCTTCCAAGAATTTGAATATAAACAAACACCGTTGTTTGTTTGCTTATTCTGGGACTTTTGATTAAGTGCTTTTCTCGTGAAATTATCTTCCTCTGCCTTGTGTGACTCAGACAGAGGTTCCAAATACGCCAACTGCTTGGAATAAGGCAAGACCACTATGACTTACTCGGCTAAAGTTTAAAGAGAACAATTGAATCCATAAATATTTGGTGTTATCAAAGCTTAATAGAGTATCCTCATAATGACTATTTTTCAGTTTATCATATCAGCGAAGATTATAGCTGAAATGTTTCATTCAGCAAAATTTCCCTAAGTGGAGTTTGCCCCCTAAAGTACCATGCCACTGTGGCAATATATATACTCGTTAAAGTATATGTGTGTGAAGTTCGCACTTATGGCACTGTCCATATATATTAGCTGAGAGCTATAAAGCTGGGGAGCGATATACAGCCTCGTATGAATGTGGCGCGTTGTACAATTTAAATACATGCACTTGATACAGCGTAAGAGTAGGCTCTACTTAGTGACAATAAAGTTAGAAGAAGAAAACTCAAGTGTGTGAAGAATGAACGAATGCTGATCAATATGATAAGTGGATCCCGTAACGAATCGACCATTACTTACTTATATATATACAGAGAGAGTGAGAGAGAGTTAATTATCTGAAATAGATCCAAGGCACATGTAGCCGTTCCCCTAGCTATTTTGTATGCACTCTCTGTTCTTTTTTTTGTTTTCATGCTGAAACTACATTGAGATTATTAGACTGCCATACTGTCTTTCATTTCAGTTCAAATGTCGGTCGTTGCCATAACGTTACAGTAGAGCCGCACTCGCTTCTTGTCGCGTCGTCGGTGCTTGGACTTTTGTAGTCGCTAGCCGACTGCCCTGGACCCTGGCACAGGTTCCCACGCTCTCTCACTACTTCTCTATGTCATACAGTCGTAGTACCGATCTATCTAGTTGTGATGGCAGCATATATAACTTGTAACAATCGTACCACCGTCTTTTCTTAGTGGTCCACTGGCCTAGGTGTCGAAGAACTATTTTCCCAAAAGATGTAATGGATGTGTTTAGCGACATTTTACGCTTGGTTAATAATGTTAACAGCTACGTAACGTGTACATTTCTAAAACAAGTCCCTTGTTAACGTTTGCTCGCAAGTGTCCTGCTACGTCAAAGGAGAATGAATGGATGGCCGATTCTGTCGAAGAAGCTGCGGTGTCCACTGATCAAAAACGTGTGCTATCCAAGATAAAGCAAACGCAAAAGCAATATGGTCAATGGGAGCTGTTTGAACCCCTTATACTACTAGGAACCTTATACTAGCTCAATCATAAATTCTTGACTAGTTGGAAACTCGTTGCTATTGGAAGAATGTTTTCGAGTTCGGCCTAACGAGTTACAATAGGGTAACTTGGAAGTTTTGTCTTATTGCGTTCTAATACGGAGTCGGCACCTATGAGTTCGAGTCTTCAACACAGATACTATATGACCAAGCAATAGCGATAGGGCGTTGCATTTCCAGTATAAGGCTCTAGAATGTTTTGCCAAAGTTGCCTTTATACTGTTTAGAAGATCAGTTAGTCTTCGTCTAAGCGTCCAATTTGACCCCTTTACAACCTATGCATTTTAGAACTGCTAATTGCATAAGAGGTATAGTTAACTGTTATAAAAGGTGAAATGTTAATAGATTTTTCAATAAACATTCGTCTAGCGTCACTGTATTGTCGTCTATATTTGAATCTTCTTCTGTTTGTTTTTATATTTCTATTGCCCTAGCCATTTTTTTTGCTCACCTCTGACCCTTACGGTGCCAATAAACACTACATCGAAAATTTGGTCTACCACTTGGTCGTCTTCAGATGAATGCGTTTCTCCTAAATTTACAACTTTTCGTTCTATATGTACCCCGCTATGGCACTATGATTTATTCTTGACATAATATAAAAACCCGAAATTTCACAAATACGTTTCTGGGGAGGAGGTCCACATAAGTAATAAAAACTTTAAAAGAAAACGTTCGCATATTGTTTATATCTATATAATGTGCTCAAATTAACGTTTAGATCTATTTAGATTGGTGACCTTTATACTATCGGTATTAGAACCTGTTTTTTGGCGTGACGATTTTTTGGTCACAAAAACAACAAAGGCTTCGAATCGTTGCAGAAAACCCCTCTAATTTTTTTTATTTGATATCATGTGAGTGACTAAAAGAAGCCAGTACATTAACACTGATTCGTAAATTTTCTAACTTGGACTGGAAAATTTAATGATGAAAATTGATGGATTATCATTTAGTATATGTATTGCTATCCGGTTCAATAGCATACAAAACATTGATAGTAATTAACATGACTGTCGCAATATAGTGTGTTTTTAACATACATATGTACGTACGTACGTACTGCATGTACTAATGTATATTTGATTTTGTGAATTGTTATGTAAATCACGCCACGTATATAGAAAAAACTCATTCGAATAGCGCGGGGGAGGGATCAGCCTCAAAAATATTAGAAACTATTTACCTGTAAAATGCAAATAAGGCATATTGATGTTTCGCTTCAGACTGCAAGTAAAGCCGTCTGCTTGCATACGATGACAATTTAATTTTACAATATTTTTTATATCTGAGAGATATAAAAAACAGCTAGCCGTGACGATATTTTGAATTGCTCTACCAACGACAAGCTTGGTCCAAATGGCCAAATTGTGTGTCGATTTCATATGTCTAAAACCATGGGGACGAACTTTGATGTTTGCAAGGTTCCCATTTCGTGGCCTGCTACTACGAACCATAAAACGGACTAGTTAGTCCTAATAGTTCGCTGTAGTTGTTTGTTGCTTTATGCAACATATACGCTTGATAAAATTCGATACTGAGACGCTTTCATAGCCAATACAGGAATTTTAGACATTGAAATAGAAGAATGTTTGGCCTTATAGCAAGTATGAGAGAGATTCTCTAGAGAGTAGTTCTATTCAATGCGCAACGAAGTTAAAACAAGAAAATGTAGATATTACGAATACGGCTTCTCGAAAATCGATCGTTTGCATTGCTTACGGAAAGCACCCAAGATGGCTTGTATAGGGATTGAAATTCAAGCTCTTGTGTTATCTGATGCCAAACAATGCGTGTTATGTTGCCGAGCTACTAGCTATTCCTATACGCCAATCATGAAGTTTAATAAAAATGCAATACTGATGTCCTGCTGTTCTACTTGTACGAGCTAGTAAGAAGATTAGAAATATAGGGTTTGTCTATATTAAAAGCATTTTTTTCCGGTGTTTTTCTGACCGCTGCCGAGCAAGCTGCCGATAATGGTACTCGAAAGAAGCCATCAGTAGATAATCGTCAAATAATGTAAACGTCAGGTCAGCTCCTTAGGGTTTAGGCTGGTGAGGCAGCACAGATCTAGTGCTTAGTTGTCAGATAGAATATAGTGCTTAGGCGGTTTTTTGGCGGTGAGCCTGCGTCTAGACGTCGAGTCAAATGGAAAAGCCACGCTGCTGCTGCTGCTGATGCTAAATGTTATTAATTACTTCGTGGGCTTCTCTCCCCATCCTTGTACGTTTTTTACCAGCTATGCAATCATATTTGATGGTTTCAGCTAGGTTTGTCTTATTTGACGTTTTGTTATTTGTCTGGGCCTGGGCGCGGGTTTTTTGGCCTTGTTATCCGTCGTCCCGGCCATTGATGTCTACCTTTGCGGCCGCGATCGCCATCTGACCCGGATTAAAGGAAGATGATTCGATTCAAATCATCGTGCATCAGGGGGGGTCCAACTCTGACGAGACCAATCATCAACCGTCGATATCAGTTGCCGTACCCTGACTTTACGTAGCTACTTCACATCTCCTGGCGGAACCGTTACGCACTGCCACGTCTAACCCATCATCCTGTAGTCGACACGTTCATAAACTTGCGCACATACGAGCGGCAAATGGGATAAAATAACGAGAAACATAATTAGAACTTTGTAGCTAACAAATTAATTCAAACCCAGCGCATACTGCTGGTCAGGTAATGGCTAACGACCATCCATAAAATCACGCGTGGTGGCCAAGTGGTTGCTTGGTATTTCCGCTGCCATCATCTAAGAGGCGATCCGTACCGCATCGCCGTCGCTGTCGCCTGTATAAGTATGGCCGTGTGGGTATCATGTATCGTTGTATGTACAAATATGATAATTGTGTACAGTGTGTGTGTTTGTGTGTGCGTGTATGTATAAATGCCGTCATAAAGAAATAATATGGTAGGATATTTATGCTATCTTGACGTACCACTGGATAGACATAAAGGTAGGACGATATTTAGTAACTATTTGTTCAGTCAACTCATCAGCTGCAGAGATAGCAATAGCTGAATTTGTTTATGGCAATAGCTCGAAGAAGGAAAGGAGAAACCTAGTGTGCTGCATTGGCAATAGAAAGGGGTCGCGCTGTTACTGTTACAAAGCACTGACGCCGCTTGGCACACTGTTTAAACCAACATGTATATATGTACATTATTTAGCAAATCAAATGACGGAAAACAGCAGTCGAAAAGCCGTTGTTCTCCTGCCAATGGCGGCAATCGAAGTAGACGACAAAAAAAAAACAGAAAGCAGCAGCCGAACCTTGGGCGAAAACGAGACTATACGTAAATATGCGCGTTTTCAATAAATAGATAAACAAGGGTAGATGGACAGAAAACTAGAAGAGCGAAGGGTCCTAGAGCCAGAACGATATTGTTTTTGCGGTGGACATGACTATGAACTGATAAGGTAATGCGGTAAAATGGCTTGGTCTACGGATTTTGCCTGCGGCGCATAAAGGTTACCGTCGTTGGGCTCGCACATATGTCCGTGGTGAAGTGACGCTAGCCGAAACAGGAACAATCAGAAAGGGCAATATAGGGAATAGATAAAACATCGTTGAAACAGAACATGAATAGTTGAGTACGCATATGTTGCTAGTAATTGATTGTTAAGCTTCTGGCGTCCGCTTTGCTCGTTCGATACATGACCAGTAATTGATTGTAGTGTTATAAAATGTCATAGTTATGAGATGTGAACCTATGTGCTATTCAGATCGTTCGCTAGGTCTGGATTCCACCCGATCAACCACCGTACCCACGACGGCGGTCCTGTTGCCTCGGTGCACATACATCGATGGCCGTTGCAGCATGAAAAATCTACCCCTTCTCTTACACAAAAAGTTTCTCAAATCTATCGCAGGACCTCCTTACAGAAGATTTGTAGTCCTAAGCTCTGGTTCTTTCCGAGACCCAAACGCCGACGCATAGAAAAAGTATTTATCCTGCAAAGTAGGGTGTTCCCAGGGCGTACCTTGCCCTGCTAACGTACAGATATGGCCTGGTACTGCAGGACCACGACACCGGTGAGTACAGTAGAGGATCGACCACGGTTTTTCCAGCTGCCTGAAGAGGTCTACGGAGCATCTCTGGGTTAGCAGAAAATGTCGTCGAGCTTTATATGAAAAGAATACTGTTTGTTTTTCATTTACTCAGAGATCAACTAACGGGAAATCACATGCGAGAGATTCATTGATTCGACTATGTCAACAAGCTTTAAATTATCAACAAAAATTTCACTTTAGCGGCAAGTTTAACAGTCGGCCACAATCTTACAAAACCGTATAGCTAGAGAATACTAGAATGGAACGCGTTTATAAGACTGAGGGTGACAAGCAGTATGGATTCTAACGTTCCTCATAAGAAGGCTTTGCCTTTATCGGTGGGAGATTCAAGAGCACCTTGTTCCCTCCATTCCCAGTTGTTGTGGGCTCAAAGCGTTAATCTGTTCGTCCGAACATTCGTGTTTACCACTTCAGCGGATATTCTTTGAACCAAAGAAGTGAGAGAAATAGATCTAAACGACCCATTCGTCTCTCTAAGTGCCAAAAAAAGATGCGAAATAGTACTAGTTACACTTCCTCCAGTGTCGACTCCCATCGGAGAATGTCGACGCCTTTATCCAGTGCTATATTCAGTAGTGCTTTCTTCGTGGTACCTGCAACCCCACAAGTGCTTTGGTAGTAAACAGCCTTCCCTTGCCAGTACACCTTTAAATTCGCAATCAAGAAAGACCTTACGCAGAACCCTGTAGGATGGACAGAAGCGCAAGTGCACCAAATTTCGATAGGGTAACAATTTCAGCCTTACGGGCTCTTTTGAAAGTGGCGGTAGGTTGGTGCTAACGCTGGCGACTCCTCTAGTGATTTCAGCATCAGCAAAATTTTACCGATATGAATCATTTGATTGATTAGGCCATCATTCCTTCATCTGAACTACTAAAGCTGATGACATATTTGCTGTAGCGGGTCGACGCATTTTCGCTGAAACAGCTCCGTCAGTATTTTCCGGTTGATCAAAGTTCCAGTTACCAGAGCATTATCTGCTATCGAGTGTGCGCCTAAAGGTATGTCCGACGACAGCTAATTTATTTTATCGTTCGTTATTTTGCCCATAGTCACGGCCTACTTCACAACGCCTACTACACAATGGGTGAGAAATCAAGGCAGAAGTAACGCTTTCTACTGCACAACGCCGCCTTAAATTCTAGTCAACGACCCTCCCGGAGCTTGTATATCTTTGATATACATCTTGTACATTTTTGACAAAGTAGGACATTTGGTTTAAACAAAGCTTGTATTATTGCTAATTGGTCCTTTGT